CTGTGGGAACAGGTTGGCCTGAAGGATTTATTGAAGACAACAAGACAATCCTTTGATTTAAATTTGAATGCTCGGTATGAGAAAAACAAAGAAATGCATGTAATCCCACTTCCTTTGGCAACAGTGCATGAAGCACTTAATAAATACATCATTTTCTTCAACAAGCATTTTGAGAGAGGAAGAAACACTGCTTTAGATTTTCTCACAAAGTCATATAATGAAGCCAAAACAAAATTTGACAAATACAAAATACAGACATCTCTGAACAAACTACCAAGGACCTTCAGGATTCCAGGATACACCATTCCAATTGTGAACATTGAGGTTTCTCCTTTTACTGCTGAGATGCCAGCCTTTGGTTACATGCTCCCAAAAGAAATAAGCACAACAGGATTCACAGTCCCATTTATTGGCTTTTCAGTACCGTCTTACACACTGGTCTTACCTTCTCTGGAGCTCCCAGTCCTTCATGTCCCGCAGGATCTACGCACTCTAAAGCTTCCTAGATTCAAAATCAACAGCCTGTCAAACCACATCTTAATTCCTGCCATGGGAAACATTACTTATGACTTCTCATTTAAATCCAGTGTGATCACTTTGACTGCAAATGCCGGGCTGTTCAATCAGTCAGATATTGCTGGGCAACTCAGTGTCTCATCCTCTTCTGTCATTGATGCACTGCAATTTAAGCTGGATGGTTCAACGAGTTTGACAAGAAAAAGGGGGTTGAAGCTGGCCACAGAATTGTCCCTGAGTAATAACAAATTTCTAGGAGGAAATCACGACAGCACTATTAGTCTCACAAGGAGGAACTTGGAAGCTTTAGTGGCAACAAATGCAAAAATCAACACACCAGTTTTAAAAATTAATTTCAGCCAAGAACTTTCTGGAAATACTAAGTCTAAACCCACACTTTCCTCAGGACTAAAATTAACGTATGATTTCAATATCCCTAAATATAGCACCAGTGCTAAGGGAGGAATTGCTCACAAATTTGCTTTAGAGAGCCTTACATCTTACATATCCGTAGAAACTTCTACAAGTGGGAACATTGATGGAGTATTTTACACTGGAAATGCATTTTCTGGAAGTCTAGACCATGAGGCAAACACCTATCTGAATGCTAATGGAGCTCGGTCATCCCTCAAGCTTGAGGCCCACTCCCAAGCAGATGGACTCTGGAACAGTGAAATGAAGGAAATACTTGCAGTTGAAGCATCTACACGTCGTGTTTATGCAGTCTGGGAGCACAATGGGAAAAACTATGCACGATACACACCTCTCTTCACAACAACAGGGACTCAGAGATGCAAAGCAACTGTAGAGCTTGCTCCTTGGGGTATATCAGCAGATCTTCAGATTCAAGCCACTCAGCCAAATTCCTTCCTGGACACAGCCTCAGTTAATCAAGTTGTCATAGTGAAAATCAGTACCACAAACCAGAAAGTTGGCTGGAAGGGTGAAGGCCAAATTCAGTCATTATCTCTCAGTCATGATATGCAGTTATCAAATGAAAAATCAAAGGCAAAGTTTGCTATTTCTGGATCTTTGGAAGGATACATGGACTTCCTCAAAAACATAAAGTGTCCCATTGCTGAGAAGAGCTTATGGGATATCTTGAAGTTGGATGTCACTACCAGTGCTGACAGAAAGCAGTACTTAAATGGTTCAGCATCCCTCGTGTACACAAAGAGTGACGATGGTTACTTTTTCCCCATACCTGTGAATAAGCTGACCGATGGCTTCACTTTCAGTATTCCTGAGTTACACCTAAAGGCTCCCAGCCCAGTTCTCAGCACTCCAGAGTTCAGGGTTCCTTTCACCACTCTCCAGGTCCCAGCATACACCATCGACTTGCGCAACATAAAAATTCCACAGACGCTAAAAACAATGCCCTTTGATGTCAATTTACCCACACTGCCAAAACTAAGATTCCCCAAAGTGGATGTAGGAGCCAATTATATTACATTAGAAGAATATAAAATACCATATTTTGAGGTGACAATACCTGAACACCAAATAACTGTGTCTCAATTCACTCTTCCAAAGAGTATTTCTCTTGGCAGTTTCCATGTAGATCTGGATGAAGTAGCTAATAAGATTGCAGATTTTGATCTGCCTACAATTACAATTCCTGAACAGAAAATTGAGATCCCCCCTCTCAAAATATCCTTGCCTGCTGGAATTTACATCCCATCATTTGGTGCCTTAACTGGATCTTTCAAAGTTGCTTCCCCTTTGTACAATGTCACCTGGAGAACAGACTTAACAAACAAAAAGGACTCTTTCGAACAGTCCATTGACTCTACCTGCAGCTCAACATTACAGTTCCTGGAATATGACTTGAATGGTAAGACATTGAAATTCTATATGCCACATTTTGGGGGGAAATACCATGTAAGGGGTTGTTACAGATTTATTTTTTTTTTCTAGGACTTTGTATATGAAGGTGTTGCTGTCTATTTAGCATTGACATTAGATTATACTTCTTTTATCATCAGCAGCATTTTTTCATAAATTATTATCAGAGTCTCAGTCAGTCACCCTGAAGACTAATGACTAGGTATATGTATAAGTTATGGCATACTGTGAAAAAAAAAATTTAAAAGATCTCTTTTCTGTGTAGTAGTTTCTTACTTTAAATTGTGAACAACAAAACATTACCCCATTATTTACGATAAGACATGCAAAGGAGAAAAGGCAGGCTGACTTTTTATCTGATTCAGTTCAGATACAGAAATGCCTATCTTTTTCCTTAGGAACTAAGCATATTTGATTTCAAAAATTACTTCAACTCAGAAAACTCTGGAGTCCCATATAGCATTGAGTTCTCTACTTTATAATAATATTAAAAATATGCATCAGAATATAATTCTAAGCTCTCAAGAAATTAGAATCCCCATTTATGATCTACATGAATAAAAAATATTATATCCATGTTGTTCTAAATATAGAGAAAAATTGAATTTTAAAATACTCTGGCTGAACAAATATTTTCTTATCTTTTTATTTGGGGCATTACGGGCATTCAGTTTCTTGATGCATAAGTTAACATACTACAGAAACACCCCACGACTGGCCGTCTGACATACAACTGGACATCAATTTTGTATTGTGTAATGGTAAGCTCTGGAAATACACACATTTGAAATCTTTTTTCACAGTTGTTTCAAACTACAAATATGAAGAAGGCGTGTTTGTTGTGAAGACAACTGGCAGCTTTTCACATCGTGACATGAGCGCAAACTACAAGGAAGATCTCACTATTTCAGGAATTAGGTAAATATTTGCTCTAATAATATAATTGATAATAGACAAAATTGTTGTATTGTTGCTTTGATCTCTAATGCCCCAGAGTGCTTCACTGTAATTAATAGGAACCTATGTAGCTACCCTGTCGTTACCGGCTGTGCCTTTTTTCCTCTGGTAGGAGGATAGGTAGATAGCTGGAAAGTTGTTCCCTTTCAGCATTTCTAGAATAACTTTTCTCAGCAGCCCCATTTCAGAAAACTGCTGAGATATAAACACAGTACTTGATAATCAGAGCAGTCCTAGATCTGATCATCAACGTAGGTTGTTTTTTTTTCACTGTCACCACAAGCCATTAAAGAGTAATTTTTATTCACAAGTGCCATTGCTAGGGATTACAGAGTTGGCCTTCTATCTGCCTGTTTTGCTCTGCAAGTATTGTGTTGATATATCCAAGGGACCGAGCCTGTGAAGGCAAGTAGAAATGCAGATAAAAAGTACTGCCTATACTTGTGTTGGTGGAAAAAATTGCAGTCAGCATGTAGAAGTCTACAGAAAGCTGACAGTGATACAGCTACAGGTTTTGTTTTGCTGCCTTAATTTAATGAAAATTCTCAACAGAGCTCAATATAGTTTTATTTAAAATAGGAAAACTGGAGTGATGTAAAGTTTTGAATGTGTTAGGCTAAATCGTAAGAAATGTGGATAGTAAAACCCTACATTTTCTTTTGATGAGAAAGGCATTGTTTACATACATACATATACACACAATAATAGATGGTATTGTATTTAGACACGCTGCATTGGGCTCCTGCTTTGTGCATTCCTTCATAGCTGTGTATTCACTGTTGTTGTAGAGTCATGGACAACACTGCATCACTAGATATCATCAGCCCAACTTTTACAGACGTTCATGTGCATTATCAAGAGACTGACAGGAGCTTATCTGGCTCAGTATCTTCACCCTCTGCTGGGACCTTGGGCTACATCATTGAAATGGACACTGACATTCTCACAGCGAAAGTTTACTACCGAACTCGGGTAAGCTTGATATAAGCAAGAAAAAGCAAAAAGGTTAGGTGTGGTCAGAGGAAAAAATCCCTTTTAAAGTTTGTGTGTGTTTATGTTAAGACATAAATTAACCACCCTTTGTCCAAAGAAAAAGTATGTTATCAGTAATTAAAGTTTTTGTTCCCTACA